CCAAAAAAAAAAAAAAACTATTGGAATAAAAGAAATCAGTAAAAAAGTCCCTCAATGGTCATACAAATTAATCAACGAATTAGAACAATAGGAAGGAGAAAGTGAAGGAGAAGTACCAATAGATTATCAGATTCGTTCAAGAAAAGCCAAACGTGCAGTGATTTTTACTAATAACTAGAGAAATGCTGATCCTAATAATAAGGATACTAATAATTCTAATAAAAGAGACGAAGTAGCTTTGATACGATATTCGCAACAATTTGATTTTCGTCATGACATAATCAAAGGTTCAATGCGAGCCCAAAAATGTAAAATAGTTATTTGGGAACTTTTTCAAGCAAATGCTCATTCTCCGTTTTTTTTGGACAGAATAGACAAATCACTCCTTTTTTTTCTTTTGATATCTCCAGACTGATAAAACTCATTTTTAGAAATTGTATAGGAAAGGGAGCAAAATTCAAAATTTCAGATTATACATAAGAAGAAATAAAAGAAAGGGAAAAAAAGGAAAAGGACAGAAAAGAAGAGAACAAGAGAAAAGAGAAAGCGTAGATAGAAGTAGCAGAAGCCTGGGATACCATTCCATTTGCCCAAGTAATAAGAGGTTCCATGTTAATAACTCAACCGATTCTTAGAAAATATATTATATTACCATCATTGATAATAACTAAAAATATTGGCCGTATGTTATGTTTACAATCAGCCGTGCTGGAGACCCCCAGTCTCCAAGCACCCCCACCACCCCCACACACATGTGGGGGTTGGTCATTGCATCAAAAATAAAATAAAATAAAATAATATGGACCAATCACACCCCACTGGGGGCCCTGGGGGTCACCCCCAGTGGGGGTCTGAGGCTTTTTCCTATTACAATTTCCTGAGTGGTCGGAGGATTTAAATGAATGGAATAAAGAAATGCATGTTAAATGCACCTATAATGGTGTTCAATTATCAAAGACAAAATTTCTGAAAAATTAGTTAATAGACGATATTCAAATAAAGATGTTATTTCCTTTCAGTCTGAAACCCTGGCTCAGATTTAAGCCATGGTCCTCTCATATAGATCAAATAAAAAAGAAAGGACAAAAAGATGATTTTTGTTTTTTAACGGTTTGGGGAATGGAAGCTAAACTTCCTTTCGGTTCTCCCCAAAAACGACCTTCCTTTTTTGAACCCATTTTTAAGAAACTTGAAAAAAAAAATTTGGAAAATTGAAAAAAAAAATATTTTCTATTTCTAAAAGTTTTAAAAGAAAGAACAAAATTTCTAAATATCTCAAAAAAACAAAACAAAAAAATGAATTATCAAGGGCATTCCATTTTTAAATAAAGAATAAAAAAAAACTCTCAAAAGTAAATCCAATTCTATTATTTAGATTGAGAGAAATTTATAAATCAAGCGAAACTATAAATAAATAAATAAAAAGATTCTATAACCTGCAATCATATAATTCATAAATCCTTTAGTTGAATTCAATCTACATATTGGACAAATTTTTTACTAATAGAAAAAAAAAAAGAATTGAAAGATCTGACTGATAGAGCAAGCACAATCAGAAATCAAACAAAAAGAATTACCAAAAAAAAAAGTGACTCCAGAAATAAATGATAGTCCTAATAAAGCAAGTTATAATGCTAAAAGATTCCAATCACCAAATTGGCAAATATTAAAAAAAGAAATACTCGATTAAATTTCGTTGAAAGGATATACGCAGATATCCTTCTATCTATTATTAATATTTCCAAAATTAATATACAACTTTTTGTTGAATCAACAAAAAAAATGATTCATAAATTCATTTACAATAATAAAAAAAATCAAAAAAGAACTAATAAAACAAATCAAAATAAAATGAATTTTATTTTGACTATAAAAAAGTCACTTTATAATATTAGTAATAAGAATTCGCAGAATTTTTTTGACTTATCCTCCTTGTCACAAGCATAGGTATTTTACAAAATATCACAAACACAAGTTCTTAACTTGTATAAGTTAAGATCTATTCTTCAATATCACGGAATGTCTTTTTTTTCTTAAGACTTCAATAAAAGATTATTTTGGAACAATGAATAATTCATTATGAATTAAGACATAGGAAACTTCGGAATTATGGAATAAATCAATGAAAAAACTTGTTAATAGGTCATTATCAATACCATTTATCTCAGATTAGATGGTCTAGATTAATAGTAGCAAAATGGAAAAATAGAATCAATCAATGTCATACAATTCAAAATCAAGATTTAAACAAAGAGAATTCATATGAAAAAGGCCTATTAATTCATTACAAAAAACAAAATGATTACAAAGTATATTCATTAGCAAATCAAAATGAGAATTTTCAAAAATACTATAGATATAATCTTTTATCTTATAGATCTATTAATTATGAAAATAAGAGGGACCCATATATTTATGGATCACCATTCCAAGTAAATAAGAATCGAGAGAGTTCTTATAATTACAACACACATAAACAAAAGGGAAATTTTTTTGATATACTAGGGGATATCCCTATCAAAAATTATTTAGGAAAAAGTAATATTATGTATATGGAAAAAATCCGAATTGAAATATTTTGATTGGAAAATTCTCCATTTTTGTCTTAAAAAGAAAATCGATATTGAGGCCTGGATCAAGATCGATACCAACAAGAATAAAAATACTAAAACCGGGACTAATAATTATCAAATAATTAATAAAATTGATTATCTTAAGATTCCTCAGGATCAAGAAATCAATTCACCAATCTTTTTTGATTGGATGGAAATGAATGAAGAAACACTAATTCGTCCTATATCGAATCTGAAACTTTGGTTCTTCCCAGAATTTGTACTACTTTATAATGCATATAAAATTAAACCGTGGTTTATACCAAGAAAATTCTTTTTTTTAATATAAATGAAAATGGTAGTGAAAATGAAAACATCAATAGAAAGCAAAAGGGGGTTATACCCTCGAATGAAAAAAAAAATGAATTAAAGAATAAAAATAAAAAAGAATCTGCAGGCCAAAGAGATCTTAGGTCAAATGCACAAAACCAAGTAAATCTTGTATATGTTCCCTCAACCGAACAAAAAGATATTGAAGAAGATTATTTAGAATCAAACATGAAAAAATGTAAAAAGAAAAAACAATACAAGAGCAATACTGAAACAGAACTAGATTTCTTCTTGAAAAAGAATTTACTTTTTCAATTGAGATGGGATAATGCTTTGAATCAAAGAATGATCAATAATATCAAAGTATATTGTCTCCTGCTTAAACTGAGAAATCCAAGAAAAATTACTATATCCTCTATTCAAAGAAGAGAAATTAATCTGGATATAATGCTGATTCAGAAGAATTTAACTCTTACAGAATTGATGAAAAGAAGGATATTAATTATCAAACACCTTCGTCTGTCTATAAAAAATGATGGACAGTTTATTATGTATCAAAAAATAGATATTTCATTAGTTCATACGAGTAGACATCAAACTAATCAAAGATACTGAGAACAAAGATATGTTGATAAGAAGAATAAGGATTTTGATGAATCCATTTCAAGGCATCATCAAAGGATAACCGGAAATAGAAAAAAAATCATTATTGTACGAGCACAGAATAATCTTCTCATATAATCCTGTTGATCAAGTTTGCACTCCTCCAAACGTCATCGTTTTGCTACCTGAAAACACAAACGTGAGCTAGTCGGCAGGTATGTGCTAGAAACCCCTCCAATGCCTAAGTCAACAACTAGACACGTGGCAGGGTGCCACTGGCCTTGTACCTACGATATAGCCATCACACACCTCAAAAATTTGAAATGCCTCACCGTCTTTTTACCTTTTCCCAAAAACATACCGTCACTTTCACTATACATTCTCACACTCTGATCTCTATACTGCCCATTGTTTGTCTTCTTCGCCTCGAAGACCCTTTGATCCAAAGCCAAACTACTTAGATTTACTCATTGTTGCATCCAATCAATACCGCAGCTTTGCACTCGAGGTCTTGCGATCATCCATTGAAGCTATCCTACTGTTCAAAAAGCCCCGAATCAATCTTCAAATCTGTAAGTATCTCAGACCTTCCCTCTTACTCCACGAACACTCGAGGTGTTCATGCTTTAATGTTGAATAACCCCTGCACATATTTGAACCAACAAAAGAGCTTAGATATGAACTCGCCATGGTCTCAATACCACTATAAGCCCTTAAAATCATAACTACTGAAATGGATCCTCTTTAGCAGGACCTTGAGTTGCCCTTAGTTAGTGATTTTGATCCAAAACTGTAGTACGACCGAACTAAAAATCGGTTTGACCTTTTACTTAACTTTGACCAAACTAAGATTCACCTAACAGGGCTAAAACCTCGTCCATCTCCACAGCCGAGCTACGGCCGTATCGGTTGTGGACAGATTCTGTTTGCCAACCGAGGCAAACCCACGTTGCACCCTTGTTTCAAACCGCACGAACACCAAACCATATAGGCTTAAACTGTTTTTTAGCTTAGCCATCACACGAGCATAACACGCTTTTATGTTTCCACTTTGCAGACTTGACTAGGTTATCCAGGCACACCATTCACTCTGTTCCTGGGCGGTATTGCTTGACCTAGCCAACCACCGTTCGTATCATCGCCGTGGTAGGCCGCCGTGTAAACTCCTAAAACATTAAACTTAAGCCCATGGGCAAGTACCGATTTATGATGAGCTCACCAAGTGATATGGCCGAATTTCGGAGGGAATACAACATCCCCGATGACGTTCAATTCACATTAGCCGAGCTGGAAACAACACCACGGGGCAAGCCCGGTTTTGTTCTTTTCACCCTTCTATTCATTGTTAAGGGTGGACTTCGGTTCCCCATTCTGCCCTTAATCTACGAGTTACTTAGACAAACCCAATTATGACCCACCCAATTATCTACTAACAATTACAGAATAATCAATGGCGTAGTCGAGCTGTTCCACCAATATTCGCTCTGCCAAAATGACGACGATTGGGTCTACTAC